AAATGCTGATGAAAGAAATCAAAGATAATCTAAATAAATGGAGAGACATATCATGTTCTTGGGTTGAAAGACTCGACCTCATAGAGATGTTGATTTTCCCCAAATTGATATACAGGTTTAAAGCATTTCCTTTAAAATCTCAGTAAGATTGTTTATAGATATAGACAAAACTTTATTCTAAGGTTTTTATGGAAAGTCAAAGGAACTAGAAGAGCTAAAACAATTTTTTAAAAGAAGAATAAAGTGAGAAGAATCAATCTACCCAGTTTCAAAACCTATACAGGCACTGTAATCAAGACTGGGGTATCGGCAGGAGAACACACACAGATCGATGGACCAGAATAAAGACAGAAACAGACCCACACGTGTGTGCCTAACTCAATTTTCACAGGCGCAAAAACAATGCAATGGAGGAAAGATAACCTTGTCAGCAAACGGGGCTGGAGCAAGTGGATATTCACAGAAAAAAAAGAAAAGAAAATGAACTTCAATGGAAGTCTCACCACTCATACAAAATTTAATTCAAAATGGATCACGGACTTAAATGTAAAACTATAAGACTTTTGGGGAAAAACGTAAAAGAAAATATTCAGGATCTAGGGCTGGTCCGAGATGTCAGACTTGACATCAAAGCACAATTCATAAAAGGGAAAACCAATGAGTTAGACTTAAAATTTAAAAGTTTTGCTCTGCAAAAGACCCTAGTGAACAGATAAAAAGATAAGCTACAAACTGAAAGAAAATATTTTTTCAAACCACATATCTGAAAAAGGACCAGTATCTGGACTATGTAAAGAATTCTCAAAACTCAATGATTGAAAATAAAAGAACGAACAATCCAATTTTAAAAAGGCCAGAAGACATGCACAGACATTTCACCAAAGAGGACATACAGATGGTAAAGAAGTACATGGAAAGATGTTCGACATCACTAGCCATCAGGGAAACGTAAACCAAAAGTACAAGTACGTGACACTATTTTTTTTAATTTAAGCCAACCTGGGGTGAAGTGATAAAACCAAAGACAAGCACCGACGCGGAGGAACGAGCTCACGCACACATTGCTGGTGGGACTGTAAAGTGGTACGGCCACCGAGTGAAACAGTGGCACTTTCTTAAAATCGAGACATACAACTACCATCTGACCCAGAATTGTACTCTTAGGCACTTACCCCAGAGAAACAAAAACTTGTGTTCCCCCTCTATGTGCACGAATGTTCACAGCAGTTTTATTCATAATGCCCAAAACTAGAAAGCAACCCAGTTATCAGCCTTCAACGGGTAAATGGTTGAACAAACCCTGGCATGTCCATACCATGAAACAGAGTAAGGGACGAAGTGCTAATACATGCAGCAGCCTGGTGACTCTCCAGAGAACCGTGCTTAGTGAAAAAGCCAGTCCCAAAAGGCTACCCGCGTGCGATTCCATCTATAACATTCTTTATATGGATATAATCTTTATTGATTTCAGAGAGAGGAAGGGAGAGAGGCAGAAACATCAGTGATGAGAGGCATTGATCGGCTGCCTCCTGCACGCCCCCGGCTGGGGATCGAGCCCGCAACCCGGGCACGTGTCCAGACTGGGACGGAGCCTCCATCTCCTGGATCATAGGTTGATGCTCAACCCCTGAGCCACACCGGCAGGGCTATAACATTCTTCAGGTGATGAAATAGTAGAAATGGGGAACAGATTAGTAGTTGCCANTCCAGACTGGGACTGAGCCTCCATCTCCTGGATCATAGGTTGATGCTCAACCCCTGAGCCACACCGGCAGGGCTATAACATTCTTCAGGTGATGAAATAGTAGAAATGGGGAACAGATTAGTAGTTGCCAAGGGGGTTAAGGCAGGGATGAGGGCTGGAGGGAAGTGGGTGCGACTCTAACGGGGCAGCAAGAGGGATGCTTGTGGGTGTCAGGTATGTCCTGTCCCTGGGTGTGATAGTTTCACACAATGTTACCACTGCTGGACACTGGGTGAAGGGTACAGGGGATCTCTCTGTTTTTTAACTGCACGTGACTTTAAAATTCTCTCAAAAAGTTTTATTTTTTAAAAAGAAGAGCTGCTAAACAATAAAATCCAACTAAGCAAAGATGAATCAAAATAGATTTCACATAGAGAAAAGTTTTTCGAGAGTGGGGAGGGAGCAGCCTCGAGGGGGAAAGAGCAGCCCCCATGCGGAAGGAGCTGCCCCGAGGTGGAAGGAGCTGCCCCCAGGGGGAAGGAGATGCCCTGAGGGGGAAGGAGCTGCTGAGTGGGGAAGGAGGTGCCAGGAGGGGGAAGGAGCTGCTGAGTGGGGAAGGAGCAGCCTGAGTGGGGAAGGAGCTTCCCCAAGTGGGGAAGGAGCTGCCCCGAGGGGGATGGAGCTGCCTCGAGGGGGAAGGAGCTGCCAGGAGAGGGAAGGAGCTGCCTGGAGGGGAAGGAGCTCCCAGGAGGGGGAAGGAGCTGCCCAGTGGGCAAGGAGCAGCCCTGAGTGGGGAAGGAGCTGCCAAGTGGGGAAGGAGCTGCCAGGAGGGGAAAGGAGCTGCCCCGAGGGGGAAGGAGCTGCCCCGAGGGGGAAGGAGCTGCC